TATCTTGAAATGTGCTTATACAAATCTACTTCACATTTAGGGTATACTATATAATACAGCACCTGGCTACTAGGGTACAAACTTGTACTGCTTATTACACAACAGCAGGTATTGGTGTACCCAAACACATCTAAACATGGAAAAAGTATAGTAAAAATATTAGATGACAGGAATTTTTTCAACCTCATCATAATTGGACATATGGGAACACCATCATAAATATAACCCCTCACTGACCAAAATATTATTATGCAGCACATGACTGTAATCAAAACAAGAGCCACCAAGGCAAGCAGAAGACAGCTAAGGGTAAATACATGACCCTCCAATTTTTTCTTTTCTTTAAAAAGTAGACATTTAGAACTAGATTCTAAACTCAAAGGGCACAAAACATACCTTTCAAACTTTATTTTTATATCTTCTTATGTTATACAGCTATTACCATAAATACTTCCTCTACGGAGAGAAAATTTCTACTTTGCTAGTTCTTTAATTTCTAGAATCTCCAGGTTATAGTAGTAATTATTTGTATTTGCAGATAATTTATAAACTATATTAACATGAAACTGAGGAAATCCTTTCCTGAAGTTCTGGGTTTAAGCATAAAATTCTGGAGATAATTTTTACATGGAGAAAGGTGACTACCATATCTATCAGACTAATACCAGAATTTTGGTCCTAGCCCAACTCCCAGTGGAAGGAGATGGACATCCAATTTCCTTACTCCTTTATTTCCCTAACATCATTATTCTCCATATTAAAAACTGTGATATGTACACACACAGACTTAAGGCTGTAAGAAATATTTTAGTGGGTCAAGGTATCCCATTACATCCATGTTTTACTCTTCAAACTCATTAAAATGTGATACACAATACTGTACAAGGCCGAATTTTAAGATGATCCCTCAAATTCCTGGCTCCTAGTGACCACATACTATAGAAACCTTTCCCCGGTGAGGGCAGAATCTAGGAATGTAAGGGTTTATCAATTTCATGAAAAGGGAGATTATCTGACATGATCCTTATCTAATTAGATGAGTCAAAAGGGACTGAGGTCTCTCCATAGAGAAATTGGAACTGTAAAAAAGCCTACTTAGCAAACATTAAGACTGGCCTTCTAACAGCTAGCAAGACAACAGGGACCTCAATCTAGCAACCAGAGATCTTAGAGGACAACAAATCTCAGATGTGATCCCAGGCTTTCTGATTTGTGTGTGTGACACTAAGCAGAGCACGCACCTATGCCCTTCTCCGCAGACTTCTTTCTTCCAGCACTTAACAGGTCCTGCTTTTAAGCCATTAATTTATGGTTATTTATTATGCAGCAATAAAAAACTATTACATTCAGGCATTTCTCATGTAATTAACAGTATGCCTGGTAGACGTTAGTTTCTCAGTTCATTTTTCAAGTTATCGTCCATGCTGGTTAATTTTTTTCACAATTAACATAAATATTAATTGTGCACCATTTCAATACTTTTCATCCTAACATGAACTCATTTAATCTGTGACTCAAAATTCACTAAGAATTTCTTCAGCGTTGCTGGGCTTTCTGGTCTATTCCTAGCCAGCCGCCTGGGGTTGCGTAGGGTGGACCTGGGTGGAGCCCCCACCACCCCGCT